ATAGTTGTTAATTTAATTTTTTTAAACTAACTTTTGTTTTTAATATTTTTCCTCAGATACCGTTAAAATATCGTCTAAAATGACGAGTAAAAAAATTTGGTAAAGGTTGAGCTCGTAATATTAATATTAACAGGTGGTGCATTGTAATTTTCGATTTTCCATATAAATAACATAGAAATATTTTCTTAGTTTATTTGAATAAATTAATGTATGGTGAAAATTAAAACTTATTCCTGTAGGGAATTTAACGATCTACAAAAAAGGCCGAATATAATTTTTCGTTAAGTCGCCTCGCTCAAAAGCTATTCAGGGTCAACCTTAAATCGTGAAAATTAATTTTTATATTATTTCACAAAATAGTACCTCAAAATCATAACATATCGTGTTTTTTTGACTTTTGTTGTTTTGATTTAAAAAAATCGTAGGAAATTTATTATAACATAGTTGGAAGTATTAAAAAGATTACGTTATAAAATTAATGAATTTTTTTTTGCTATTTTTACACTTATGACATATAACATGGAGCACTTAAACGTTGCCTACATTTAGGATTAATGACAATTAGAAAACTACAGTGAGTCTCCTAATGTATAAGTAAATAAATTATATTATACTTTGCCCAAAAACACTAAATTTAACATGAATGGGTCAGATATTTTTGTAATGTATAATATTGTTCTCTTATACTCTGAGCGTGTTATATTAAGTTTGCCACGATACCATGTATATATAAATGATCAGCATGAAGATCTGAGTCGATTAAGCCTTGTCCGTCTGTCTGTCCGTCTGTATATATGCGAACTAGTCCTTCAGTTTTTGAGATATCGATCTGAAATTTTGAACACATCCTTTTCTCATCAAGAAGCTTCTCATTTGTGGGAGGGGACCGATATCGGACCATATAGCATATAGTTGCTATACAAACTGAACAATCGGAATAGAGTGCTTGTAGGAAAAGCTTTTCCATTTGAGGAAGATTTTAGATTTCAAGAAATTTGGTTATTGTCTAAAGTAATGATGCAATCTCCGAAGAAATTTTTCATATCGGATCAGTAGAGCATATATATGTATATGCCATTCAAAATCTCGGAATCAATTTTTTATATGAAAATTTTTTTCATTTGACGAGATATCATTACCAGCTTTAACTGTCTTGCAAATTAGTCGATCAAAGTTCTTGTAAGGAAGTTTTTGTATTTGTGAAGGCTATTATTGCTTCTGTGCAACCGAAGTTAACTTTTTTTCTTGTTTATTTTAATAATACAACATTTTTCGTATAAGTGTAGTAGTTAGACCTAACAGTCGCTTTTAACGCCTAATCTAGGATAAATGAGCTATAAAAAATGTCTTAAGCGAAAAAATGTTCGGAGTAAAAATATAAAAAAAACAATAGAAAATGGATTCCCAACTGAAAGGGTGTAGAAAAGCTTACAGATGCAAATATTTTAAGGACCTAGTGAGAATAAAATTATAAACGTTTAAGTATGAAATTAATTTGTATTTTATTTTAATAGAATTATTTTATTATATTAATTTGTATTTAATTTAATTTTGTTTTGTTTTATATTATTATATTTTATTTTACTTCATTTATTTTATTTTATTTTTTTATATATATATTTTTTTAAATTTTTTTAAAGTTTATTTCATTTTTATTTTATTTTTCAACAACTCCTGCCACATCTATCAGTATACATAAGTATATATGTATGTTTAAACGAATAATATAAATTAATAAGAAGCCTTACGCTCTAAAACAAAATATTACATTTATACATCTATCTTTATTTCTCTGTATTTCTAATCTCAATTTACTTTTTGCTAAATATTTACATTTTTGCTACCGACACCGACACTTTCGATAAGCCCACTTTTGCTGCTGCTTATTGTTACTTCAATTATTGTGACATTTAAAATACTAACATGATACATTACTACGAGTATGTTGTCATAAACATATTGCAATAACAATAAAGAAACACATTTAGACACGAAAATTCATCCCCACATACATTTTTTTTTTGCCATATTGTCTGTGTTAGTAGTTAGTAGATGTGCTTGTAACTATTTCGTATTATTTTTCGAGCTTGCTGACAATATAACAGACTATTTACACACACGAATATGTTTTATTTTTTGAATATATTTTGGGTTATTTTCTTTATCTTTTTTATCACTATTTGCATATTTAAGAATAAAAATTTTCAATTTTAATTTCTTACCTTAGCAACTGCAGTGATTTTGACAAGAAATCAGAAAATTCCTTTTGAATAAAAATTACATTGAATTTCACATGAAAATAATGTTTGCTGATCTATGAAAATTCGTGTTTATATCAACAATATTATAACTATTTTTTGAGCTTCGAAAAAATAGTAACTAGAATTAATTTATCTAAAATATAATAAAATACATAAACCCTTTACATGTTGCGTATACGCCGCAGTGGTTAAAGTTAAACGAAATTCATTTCACCAGCACTTACATTGGGACGCATAATCTACGAATATGCATCTGTGCATATGTGAATATATATGCACACATACATATATATTGTTCAAAGATTTATAATAATTTTGGTGAAATCATTTATCTGTGTGACCTACTTCTTTCACATTCATGCCAATGATTTTTGACACAAAAATATTTAACAACAACAATATCATTTTGCTCAAAGGTTATTTGCGAAAATCACCAAATATGAAACTTATACACAGTGTTCAAAAGCATCTGCGAAATGTGACCTATATGCTTTAGTGAGTTTGCTAAAAGTGACGATTTCTTTATAAGATTGCACTCGCATATATCTTTCTTTGTATACACATTTATTTTGTTTCGTTTACGTTTATTTTTATAAGTGTGGTGTTAGTGTTGCTTTTATTATTTAAAGTTGTTTACTGAAGCGTATTTATGTATGTCAGTGCCATTTATCAATCATCAGAATTGAAGGTGCTTTTCACAAGGATTTTCATTTATCTTCCTTTACAATAATTATATTTCTTTTTTAAAGTTAACGCCTTTTACTAAGAGAAAATTTTCATGTTGTGTGTGTGAATGTTTGGGAAATAAATGAATTAGCTCACAGCTTATATAATCACTTAAAAACAAAATACATATATATTTTCCACTTTTGAGGAATAAAACGATGTGTTAAATTCCTCGTGGATCTTCTTTTCTCAGTCACAGTGTCAACTTACCATGGCCGTAGTGAAGGTGAGTCTGGCTCCAATGGCCTAACCTCATGAGCCGTTGCCAGCCACCATACCACCATACATCTGATATAACTTATAACATATCAACCTATAATAGAATAGGAATGAGCCAATAGACTATGCAGCACTAGATGAGGGAAGTTCTCCCATTTAACTAAAGTTTGTATGCGACTTATAACCTTCTTTCCTTCTTCAATTTGTAACATTGTATATAATAGTACAAAGAGCTGTAAAAATGTTTGCCTACCTTGTCTGCCTGCGAATATTAAGATAAGCTAAATAAATGCTTTTGCTATATGCCTACACAAATTTGTTCGAAATTTACATTTAAATTTCTAATATGAAACCTATTTGAAATAGTTAAAGGAAACATAAATATGTGCGCGTAACAGCATCGTCTTATATAATTACTATTTTTAAAGCCTCTTTCATTGCCTTCGAAAGCCTTTTTACGATTGCTTCTAGTTGATTGTTGTTGCTACGCTTTTTCTAATAAGAGTGTCCTACACTTATCTAACAATAACACTCCTACAAACAAAGCGATGAGCATAAACGAATGCCAAGAGAAAGACGTTGGAGAAATAGGCATTTAAAAGCTGTTGACATTTAAATGTTTCATACAATTGCTACTTACTTACTCTTAACATAATAACTGTTGTACATACATATATACATATAATAGCGGAAGTAAAATATTGAAAATCAGATAAGCGGCTAAATTACCTCAACAACCGTGAATTGCCTATCGCCAATGGCGGAAGACAGTCAGCTACTTCGGCAATACTGGCGACACTAATGACTCAGCGTTGAGTTGAGGTGCTGGCTTGTGGAAGGCTGTGTAGGCTATACTGTTTATTGTGTTTAGAGAAAATGCTCTTATTGTAGTGTAGATATGATTTTCTTTTGTTTGCGTTGCTACATTATAAGCAGTCTTTCCTGCCTTATCTGTTATCTTTTAAGTTGTCTTTCATGCGCGGTGATTTTTATTGTTAATGACAATTTTTTTTTTTGCTTTTAGATTGATACATGAATATATTTTTATCTATGTTTGATCTAAATAAAATTAACTTTTAGTTGAAATAAAATATAATCCTAGTTTATTTATTCCTGCGATCAGTCCTTTGATTGTGGTTCTGAGCCTTAAACATGGCGTGATTGCCAAGATTTTTTTTTTGAACTAAGAAGGAATTTACTATTATGTCTATTTTTGTACGTTTTTTTCACATTTTTAACGTTTATTTCAGTAATACATGTACAATAGTATTACTCAAAGTATTTTCCGTCTTAAGCTATAACATTTTCCTATATTTCCTCCATTTAATAGGTTTCACCACAAAATTAATGTGCCATCTTGGAAGCCTCTGTAGTTCAGTGAGGGTGTTCTGCATCGACTGTTACAAATGGTAGCCAGAAGCTATTTTCCAAATTGTTTGTAACAGGACTTGCAACATGACGCCAAGCGTTGTCTTGGTTATGAACATACAAATTATTGGCTGGCGTCTAGTCGCGAATTCCGAGCGTTTTTCGATAATCGCTAGCTCAATTTGATGAGTTGTTGCCGGTAGCGTTGACCACTAATAATTGCACCCGATTTTAAGTGATCATAAAATATAAACTATTACTTTGGCATCATGAATATTCGGCCTTTTCTTAGGTTTAACTGGTTGGCCAGGTTTCACATATCCTTTTTTGTGTGTAAGGTTGTCGTAATGTATCAATTATTCATCACCAACTACAATCCAATGCAAATACTACTTCTTTTGGTAGCGTTAAAGCAGTAATTCTGACATGCAAAATCATCTTTCAACGTCTCCTGGCTTGAGTTCATATGACATCCATTTTTCATTTTTAATACATCCGGCTGAATTCAAACGTTTTCAAGTTACGTGAATGACTCCCAAAGATTCTCCGAGCTCTTTTTGTCTTGGTAAACCACACGATTATAGTTACAGATAAAATAATAATAATCCGGCAGTCCTCTAATGAGCAACTTCAATTAATATGCAGTCTTTATATACCCTCAACGACAACATTCACTTGTTCATCGCTATTATCAATTTCCTTACTAATATTAATTAAATTTGTCAAATTTCCTCAATGTAGCGCCGTTAAAAATTCTCTCTTCACCAGTGGCGTAGAAAGCACAATCACAGCCAATACAAAAGCTCAAGTCAAGAGGCATGCAAGTACCACATAATGTCTTAAGATGCTTACAGGTATGCGTTTGTATTTGTCTCCTTTTCAAATGGTTTGCCTCTTTGCCTCTTACACCTCCGCATCTGCTCGCTTTCATGTGTAAAAGGCTCATTGTGTGCGACACTAAACGGATTACACGTTCATTTCAATTCAAGGCAAAAGGCAAAGCAGAACAACTCAATATATTTCGCATTAATATGAAAGGATACTTAAGAATATTGGAACATGAATATATGCATATATGTTATATGTATATATAATATAACTACGAGCATATGTATGTAGCCGCATGTCTCAGAAAAAGTACCATGTATGGAGGTCCTTATTTTTAAGTGCTTGTACTGTTGAATATCTTACATTTTAGTAGATGGAAAGAAGCAAGCATTATCTTTCAACGCTTATTCAATGAAATTATAACTATTTTCATTTCGTTCTATAAAATAAACTCAGATTTCAAATACTTATAGAAGCTGCCTTCGATTCACCAAGCGTTATCGAGTAGTAGAATGAACAAACAGTAGTCAGTATTCAAAAATTCTGGCAGTATTTATGATGCATGCGCAGTGGAGTTTTTGCTACTTTTTTGTTGGAGAAATAATTTTTGCTTTACTATATAACACTCCATTATCCCCTTGGCTTCAACCAGCATACATATCTTACATTTTCTATAAAGAAAATTCAATTTGGGACTTATTTGTATACTCTCCTTTTTCGAATTGTACTTGCTACCTTTGTTGTTACTTTCAAACATCAATTTTTTGACAAGGGCGCAATGCTCAAAGGTAGTTAGAACGCGAATTGATGACGGTGATAGGGAAATACCTGCTCATGCGAACCAACACACGTACAATGTACTTGTGTTAGATATAATGAATTCGCGTAGCTTAATGAGGTTTTGTGCTCTTCTCTTTTAAGCTTCGACACTGGATTCTTCAGACTTCTTTGGAGTCTTATGCTAGAACATTTTAAGCCGCAAGAATCAGTTTATATCCCATAGCACTTTGCAAAAGTATCTAACTATATCTGAAATCCTTGTTGCTTGATTTGCTTGATGATGCTGTCTTGAGACTACACTATCTGACCCACCTTAGATCTACCAAGCGCCTTTGGGCAACTTTTTTCAATATTCCACCATCTTCAGTCTGATTTCTAAACTTATTCTCTGGTAACTAAGCGAATACAGGTATTCTTAAGAATATACTCATCAGTGCATTCGGCACACCCGTGTGGCACGATGTGATGGTGCCGACAACACCTGCCTCTAAAGAATGTGTGTAGTATAATATTTATATGCTCTCCATAATCTTACTCATTTCAGAAGGGAACAGATCTGTTATTATCAACATAAGACCATCCGTAAGTGCCACTGTTTAGACTGTTCCGGACTTGTGGATTTATACATTCAGTATATAATTAATATATAATGTACAATATATCATTTTACTTTCGAAGGGAGAAATTCAGATTATTGAGGTTGCTAACGATGATTTCTGCACCGCTAATGCCGTTGTAGCATTACAACTATAGCATTGGGCTTCCATAAATATTATAAAAAACTCGTCGGTAAAAAATGTTTGGCTTCTATCGGCCGCTTTTATACATATAAATGTGTTCTTTGCACGAGACCTTATCAAGTTTGGCGGACTCGCTAGAGACAGAAATTTGATTGCCAGAAGTCCACTTTTATTGATATAACTCTATTTCTTGCTTTATTTTCTAAGCAGTTTCCGATTGCCACGATTCCACCTTTCTTTTAATAATTTTGTCTCTTGGTTTATCTTCCCGGCAGCTATTCTTTGAAGCTTCTCTGTAGAATATAAGCTACATATATATATTCCTTTTTTTCTGTGGATGATCGAAATGGACAATATGCCGTAAAAAAATGGAACATTCGTATTCAGTCTCTAATCTTTTATAGTTGTGCTAAGGACAACAACTATATGCTGATTTCTATACTAAGCGACTTCGGTACTGTGACACAAAAATTTAGGAGGGATACATTATGGTTTTCCGCGTATCTCTAGCAATACCACCAACAGATGGCGTTCTATTTTACCTGTAAAGCTTATTCGTGAAAGCTTTAGGTTTAGTACAATAACTATATCTCATAAGCTTTTAGAGCTTTTTCGGTCACTTAATGTATTTGTTTATCAAAGTACCACACTAAAAGCTTCAGAGAACTTTCCTATACTACCCGAAAAGCTCAGCTGTTTATTTCCACATAAATTAGTAATGATAAAGAACTTGCCACATGCAGGTGAGCGTTTTGAATCCCAAAGGCCCGCAACTACACTTTTGAAATCAGATGCATTTCATACGCGCTGCTGGTGGCTGCCGGTGCAGTTGGCGCTTGGACGCAGTTACAATAGTTCAACGACTCACAAGTGGCAAATAGAATATATTTAACGAGCAAATAAACAGAGTCGGGATTCAAACTGATTAGCTGAAGGATACGCTAGGTGATTTGAGCTCGTGATAGCTGTGATTAGTAGCTAAGCTGTGGCAACTTAGGCAAAAGAGAGCGTTGATTAAAGCGACTTGTGCGTGTGTGAAGTGCTATGAGAAATGTTAGTAAAGTGGCATTAAAACAAAATCCTCAGGTGTTTACGCGTCTAATCAAATAATATACATATATACACGTGTATATGTGTGTTAGTGCTTTTGTGTGTAGTAAGTGCGTGAGCTCCGATGACAGTCCTCAGCCTTAGCACTCATGTGTCAATCAAGACATGATTGATTCTGAAATAAAAGGAAAAAAATATAGATTTTTGAATATATAAATTGTTTTTAAGTATAAAAATTAATGTATTAATATATATCGACATATGTACCATATTTAAAATAAGAGTGAAATTGTCAACACAAAATAAATATTCTTGCCACAGTGCAATTAATATAATTTGTATTCCAACAAGAAGCCATAATAACATTCATAACCACTCGCCATGCATAAACCATAAAATATTATTAAAGAGCCAAGCTTTAAAAATATACATAACTACATGTGTGTGTGTGTATGTATATATGCAACAGTAAATGTATAATTGACAGCGGAATACGAAACGTGTCATTGTGCTAATTGTATTTTTTCGATTTTGCCGGCTGCATAACGGGAAATCAATGTATCAGTCCACGTGCTCTATTCAAATATCCTAACATATATGCATGTGTGTGGGCACGTGTTCGTGCATGTACATGCATGTGTGTGTGTGTTAAAAGTGCATGCATTGCAGTAAGGATGCGGCAACTATTCGGTCATGCTCGGTGTTGTCCATGACCCTCAACGTAAACGACACGGGCGTTTGCAGCTGTATTTGCGCTTGTAAGTGCAACGGTAACTATAACGGTAATAAGAAAGCTTATTGTGACTGTATAAATTTCTGATAAAAAACTAGTGCAACCAATGCAACCCAAAAGACAACCGTGTAACGGTGTTGGTGAAAATATAAAAAATGTTTTTTTTTCCTTTGTTGTTAGTGGTCTGCTTTGCTGCTTCTACTTTTGTTCTTTGATTTAACTTATGTGGCAAGCAACCATTGTTGTAGCTGAGGTGCGATTGTGGTTTGTTAGGTGTTAACACAAATACTCGTACATATATGTATATGTGTATGTGTATGTAGAAATGGGCACTCAGGCATAGATAGGTTTGAGCATTGACCCACTACGGCATCGATATTTTTATACCCTGATATACCCTGTTGATTTTGTCACCAAGTTTGTAAACTCCAGAAAGGAACGTTGGAGACGCTGATAATTTTTTAGAACCACCAATATGGTACCAGTTTAGCATATAGCTGTCAAACTTATTGATCAACCGAAATCTAGTCCTTGTATGGAAAACATTTTTATTTGCCCAGCTGTCTGCACGAAATTTGTCACGAATTATTTTTTAAGGTAATGAAATAATTTCCGCAGAAATGATCAGCAGATGGGACTAATATAGCATATAGCTCCCGTATAAACTATTCGACCAAAATCCAGTCCTTGAATAGAAAACTTTTTAGTTAACAAAAGTGCCTGTCTGTAAATTGATTGCTAGTATAGCATTGATTGCAATAAACTTCGTTGATTATTATTCTCAGAAGCGACAATCTCGATATAACTTATTCTAGTCGATAACTTCTTGATCTACCTATGACCGCTTATTTTTCTTCCTGATCAGTTGGATATTTTAGCCGACCGCAAATTGCCAAAGTTGTATGGAGGAAGGTGAGATTGTTGAGATGCAAACACTTTCACTACCATTGTTCAGCTTTTGCGTGACTGAGGTTGAAATATCTCGGCAATCATACTTTCAATGAACCAGTAGAGATAGCTGAAATTGCTATTAGCCGCCTCAACAAATTTGTGATAAGCTCAAAACGCTTTGGCGACTTATGACGGTTTTTATGATCAATTCACTTATTTATCAGTGTCTTTTCATGAATCTACAATATAAGAAATAAATTTATGCAAATTAGACTTTTTCAAAATTAAATTTCAAAACTATTTACAGAATATATTATATGCTATTTGCTTGTTGTGTCAGAGCTCATTGGCATGCTTTAGCAGTATAAATATTTTGCTCCTTTAAGACCAATATTGGATTACAATCTATGGACTTGCTTTAATAAAATTAAAAATTTTATTTTTCCAATGTGCACTCCCTTAAATGTTCAGATTTCTTGCAGGGTACTTTCTTAAGCACTCAAATCTATACGTTGTGCACAGTTACCTTTGCCAGAACAACTAACATTGTACTGAAATATTGCATATGCCAAGCTTTTGCAGCACGTTTTCATAAAGTAGTAATAGGTATGGGTGTGTGTGCTTGTAGAAACAATGCGCAATATTGGCGTTATAATATATACCTGTGCAATAAAAAAAGTTCACGTGGCCATTGTCTGCATATCAAGTAGTTCTACAAAGTTAAGTAAAATTAAGTTTAAAGACTTATTGTAGTGCTATGAACTGTTTAGTGCTTTTTTATTCTTCATAAATATTTTCAAGCTTTTATTCAAGTTTATAAATAACATACTATATCGTAAAAATTTAAAGACATATTTTTATTAATTTACAAGCATTTATTTACTTATTATCTCTATGTTGAATTGTGGCAATGAAAGCAAATACCTATCGGTTGTCCTTAAGATATTTGGCTTGTTTCAACTAAAAATTTAGTATAAATTAAAATACAAAATAATTTAAAAAAATTTAATTTTCTTATATACATATACATATCTAATAAATAGAAGGTGAATTAGAAAGTGTTTGAGATATTCTATTGCCTAAACAAGATAAAACTAATTTTTTCCCATGGCAGTTACATGTAAATCAAAGCACTTTCTTTAAATTTCACATTCTTCCATTTACTGATATTCGCTCATACATAGATAAATATGATATTTCCTTGTACATCTCTCCATTCACCCTTATAACTTATTAACAGCACAAAAAAGAGTGCTTCTAAATGGAAATCGAGTAAGTAGAAACCTCATTATGTACATAAAATAGTCTCTCATTTCTACTTTTATTAATTTTTCAACAAAATTTTCTATAATCACCTCATTAACTGAGCACAGAGCAAGAGATAAGCGTGCAGCGATGGCTTCCTATGCCAAGGCGTCTCAAATTCCACGGCGATTTTCCAGTCAACGAAAGTATTTACACTTCTACATACACAAAAAACATACACTTACACAAGTATACTTATCTATATTTCATACTCTAGTTCCACTCATTTGAAAGTGTGTCAATGTGCCAATTTATTTCTTCTCACTTTTCAGCGTGTGCTTGTCATGCGCTATTTAAATTTCGCACATATAACACTGCGCAACAGGTGCTTCGTTCAAGGTTACAGTTATGCACCAAATTGTATGCATGTTTGTGTATTTGTGCGAACGTGCGTGTTGATTCATTAGTGTTTGACTAGTTTGTAAGCGTTTGTTTGCGCAGTTCCGCTGCGTTGCGTTCAAATGTAATTATAAATGTTGCATACTTTTAGGCGCGAGCTTAAATACGGTTTTACAACGCTTAGTTGGTGTTAGTGAAATTTGGCCTTCAAAGTAATGCCGTTATATAGCGGCGTTGAACTTTTTAGTGGGTATTTTAAAGTTAATTTTTTAGAATGTGAAATAAAAGTAATAAAATTTAACGAAGAAAATAATAATTAATAAATGAAGTATGTTGTAAGCGGGTAAACATAGCGAAGGTATAAATGAAAACATCCAGAGTAATATATATATTCATATATTGAACATTGACAATTTCCAAATTTTTAAAGTACTAGTACTAATATATGTATCATTCGCATAATAAATAGCGTCAAGCGTTGCTGTGGCTTTGAATAGATTAAATAATAATAATATTAAATAAAAATAATTAAAATATTATATGAATCCAATAATTTTTAATTGAGGTTTAATGTTGAAAATTTTTGATATAAATATTTGTCAATGAAAAAAAGAATGCATTTTCCATTTGGCATTGCACTTAAAATTATAATTGTTATTACTTTTGTTTGAAACTTCAACACATGGTAATGTTGAGAAATAAAATTTTTTTACGAATTGTTTTGAATTTTAATATAATTTAGATATAAACTATACTATTTTTTAAGTTGGACTAAACTCGACAGTGCTTGCTAAATTTTACGAAAATCGGTTCAGTAGTTAAAGAGTTTACCCAGGACAAAATGTGTTTATATTATAGCTCAAACATTTTTAAGCCTTCTTCGATTCACTACTACTTTGCTCATTATGTTTGACATATGATTTCTTCAAAAAGGATATATATACAAGTAAAAAACAATACGAAAAATGTCCAGTTAAATTTAAAAAACGAGAGTATGTAGGTACCTCAATATGGTAGCCTAACCGCTTCTTCTTTTATCTCTATTCGATTATGCCAGTCGATCTATATGTTAATACCAGCTATTTATTAGAATCGCTATTATCTAAGTTTTGGCAACTGGAAACAAGCAAATGTGTTTATAGCTACCCAATTACTATTTATCTTTATGATCAAGATTAATAATATTTAACTAATATTTATTTATTTAGATTATTAGATATTTAAGCAAATTATTGCCTACAATCAGGCTTAGTGCGCCACTTCAAATGTTATTTCAATTACCATTTTATCTAAGTCATGCATCTTATGGTACATTTTAGGCATAACTAATTTTGCATGAACAAGAGAAGGTCTGGCAGGTGTCAAAATTTTCAAAATTACTTTAATTCTTATACTAAACAGATTTTCAATTGAAATAAAAATAATTTTCACTACAAAAGAAAAAACATGTAAAATTTTAGAAATTCGATACTGCTTTATAACCTCTTTATAACTAGTAAAACATATAAAGAAAAAAAATATTTATATATTAAAAATTTTAATTTATAATTAGAAAAAAAATCTATATATATATAAATTACGGGATCACCAGAAGACGCCTACCGCTTATCATTTGCTTTAATATATATTTCTGTAAATCCACTTTAAAAATCCTAATATATATTTTTCCTATTACTATTCTATCCCTTGTTACGTACTAGTTTCAGTGGCATTCACCATAACTTTTGTAGCAATATTTTTCTGTCCCAAAATCATTATATTATGGTTAGATACTATAACGTAATATTTCTCTTTACTCATACATACTAAATAAATGTTTGGACTTTTAAAAATCACCAACTAAAACAAATATTTTCAAACAATTCACAATTTTATGTATGGTATATAATATATGTATTTTTTTTATGTAAATATCGTTAATATCAAACGAAAGTTGTCAAATGTTAATTTTTAAATTTTCATCACAATTTTTATATTAAATAGGTAGGCGACTTAGGTAAACCTTAAGGTAATTACTAATAAACCGTCTAAATTATATATAATTTTTCTAAACTTAATCACATTACACATACTCTGCTTCGAATCATCAATCAAAAGCATCAGACTTATGATATACCAAATTTTTTAATGTTAGCCCAAAAAGTATTTGTTTAATAAAAACAAGGAAAAATAAAAATAAAAGTTATCCTGATATTGCTCGATCAGTTTGTATAGCAGCTATGGTATCTGCTATTGTGGTTTTATCTGAACAATATATTCGTAGATTGTAGCGCTGCTTTAAACAATAACTCATACCAAATTTCGATAGATATCAAGATACTTTGCCTAAGAAAAAATATTTTCATACAAGGACTTGATTCCGACCGATAACTTTATTCAGTGACCCCTTTTGTTTACAGTGTATGTGTGAGATCTGGGACCCTTTTTTTCCATTTTATGAGCTCAATGACCTTTTTTGTTTACATTTAGCGAAGTCAACAACCTTTGTTTACATCTAGGCCCAAAGGTTACGTT